CGTCGGCAGAACACTCAACAGCAGCACCCCCAGAACCAACACCCCCAGAGCGAGAACCCCCTCCAACACCAGCGGCACCCCCAGAAGCCGCAGGACGAACACCCTCCTCCACACCAGCACCCCCAGGGGCCGAGAGCAGCGGCGGCAGTGGCGGCAACGGCTGCGGCGGCGGCGACAGCGGCGACAGCTGCGGCAGCGACAGCGGCGGCGGCGGCGACGGCTGCGGCGGCGACGGCGACGGCGGCGGCAGCGGGGTCGGCGACTGCGACAGTGGGGGCGGAGGCACCGGGGAAGGGGGACGCGGCAAGGACGGACCGGGGGTACCACCAGAGTCAGCAGACTCCTCAACGGGGACAACTGACGGGAGGGGAGTGACGTGGGAGACACCAGACGGGGCAGGACGATGCGGGAGAGGGGCAGGGGCTACCGGGGGAGAGGGAGCAAGGAAAAGGGGGGGGGCAACTGGGAGACCTCGGTGAGGGAAGCGGCGGTAGAAGGAGACGGACTCGTCAAAGGTGACGTCACGAGAGTGGAGGAAGCGGTGAGACGGCGGGTGGTAGAAAAGCCAGTCAGACGAGTCCAGGGGGAAACCGAGGAAGACACAGGGGACAGTGCGGGCAGTGAGCTTGTCCGTGCCAGAGGCACGAACGTGAGCAAGGCAGCCCCAGACGTGGAACGCAGACGCGTCACCGGGGGACCCGGTCCAAAGGAGGGTCGGCGAAACCTGCGGCCGCTGGGAGCGTGGCCACAGGTTAAGTTGGTGAGCCGCGTAGCGAACAGCGAACGGCCACAGAAAATGGGGGGCATCGGCATGGATCATAGAGGTACGGGCGACCTCCATGACCAAGCCGATGCGGCGCTCAGCAACCCCATTCTGCTGTGGCGAGTCCGGCAACGTGTACGACTGGGTGATGCCCTCCGCACGACAGAACTGTCCAAGCCGACCAGAGGCGAACTCGCCGCCACGGTCGGAGTGGAGACACAACACGGGGAGACCGCGGTGGAGACGCGCAGCCACAACCCACGGGAGAAGAACGTCGGGCACGTCGGCCTTCCGCTCCAGGGGAAACACCGTGGTGTAGCGCGTGTAGTCGTCGACGAGCACAAGGAAGTAGCGCTCACCGCGCGGTCCGGGGACGGGGGCAGGGCCCCAAACGTCCAAGTGCAGGGTCTGAAGGGGGGCAGTAGCAGGACGCAGCGAGGAGGAGTGAGGAGCACGGCGGAGCCGACCCTCGACGCAAGGCGTGCACGGTGGCGCAGTCGAGGGAGGAAGGGCAGGGAGCGACGCGGGGAGACCTAAGACAAGACCGTGCTGGGACATGTGACGCAGACGCGGGAGAGCAGGGTGACCTAAGCGGTGGTGCCAGAGAAGGGAGGGGTGAGTGAGGGACCGACACGAGCAAGCTGCAGCGACCTGGGAGGACGCACCAACCGGGGGGGAAGCGGTGTGTAGGGTAAACAGACCGGACACCGGGTCCCGGGGGAACGTCGCAAGGGGGGAACCTGAGACAGCCTCAGAACAGACAGCGAACCGCTCGTGCCCGGGGAACGTGGTGGTGACGCCGAGGTCCTGGAGACAGCCGACACCAACCAGGTTCCTGGAGAACGAGGGAACGTGGAGGCCAGTAAGGGAGCCCGAGGGAACTGCCGGACAAGGAAGGGACGTAGAACTGCGCGCGACGACCGGACCCGCAGAGGGGTTAGCGAGAGAGACAACAGCAGGTGCAGCAAGCGGCGTGAGCGTGGAACGGTCGCGGAAGAAGCAGGCAGAAGCACCAGAGTCGAGAGTGAAGGACAGCGACGCAGTGGCGGAGGCCGGGGACGGAGCCGGTGCAGCGACTAGACTAGGCAACCTAGGCAGTCCTACGCCTGTCGCAGCAGGGGAAGCTAAGCTACACAAGGGTGAAACACCTAAACTAGAGTACACAGGGTAGTAAGATCCAGCAACACTAGAAGCGTCAGCATACAAAGCATGCAAAGCAGCACCTATCTGATCCATGTCTAACTCAAAGATCGGCACGCCCTGGCGGAGTAGGCTGTGCCAGTCAGGGAGGTCCGGGGCCGGGCCAAAGCGACGACGAAAAAGATCGTCGAGGCGGCGGAAACAGCGGGCGGTCGGGTGCGGGCGGCGGCACAGAGTGCCGCGGAGAGGCCCGGTCTGAAGCTGGTACTGGCAGGTCACAGCACTGGAGCCGCTGGTAGACGCCAAGCTGCGCGGGCCGCCACCACGGCCACCGCCTCCGGAGGTGCCGGGCCAACCAGGCGGGAGACGAGCCCACGGCTGCGGCGGGTGCTGCTGGGACGGCGGCTGCGGCTGGGGCTGGTCCTGCTGCTGCTGGGGCTGCTGCTCCTGCCCACCGGTGGTAGTCCCCTCAGGCGGACTACCGTCACCACCACCACGACCACTACCACCTGCATCACCACCCCTACCTCCCTGGCGGCCACGGCCACCGCGACGCGAGCGCTGCTGCGGGTGGACAGCAGCAGCCGTCTCGGTAAGAGGGGTCGCCGTGGCGACCGCAGCCGAAATGTCAGTGAACGTGCACTGGGATGGGGCACAGCCGTGAAAGATAGAGACTGCCGGCGCACCGCTCGACTGAGCGATAGTGCGCTGGCGAGTCTCGATCTCAGTGAGGGTGTCGACAAAGGCGGTCAGGGTGAGGTCACCCGGGTGCAGGCTAAGAAAGTGGTCGCGAGCACTAGCGAGGCGGTCTGGCAGGCGCATAGCGATAAAATAGAGCGTCATGCAGAAAGGGCAGCAGTGCTGGCAGTGCGATAGCGAGTCTCTAGGGCACGCAAATGAGTGGCAAAGTCTGCGACAGTAGGGAAGGCAGCCAGGTCTGGGAACAGCATCGGAAAGAGCAAGCGGCCAGCAGAAGCGGAGGCAGGGGTGGAATAGCGAGCAATAACGGCGTCTAAATAAGCTTTGGCCGTTTCAACAGTAGCAAAACGCGAGCGCTCAGACACAGGGAGGGCGTGACTAATAGCAACCTGAGCTACTGCATCGCGTGAGTCCCAGACCGCACAGGCCAGCGCAGCAGTAGAGAAAGCCTCACGGTCATCAGAGGAGGGGTCAGCAGGGAGGGGAGTAGGTGCAGGGGGACGGGGGAGCAAGCCATCAGCATGGACAACCAGAGAGTGGCCATCCTGGCGCTGACCTGTAAGCTGGCGGCGGAGATCGGAGAGCCAGGCGGCGAAGTCAACCGCGTGGCCCTCAGCGTCCAGGCGGAGCACAAAGTCAGCCATCGTGCAGGGTCAGCGGCACAGCTCCTCAGCGACACAGCGGCACAGCAGCACAGCTCCTCAGCGGCACAGGAGCACAGCGGCGCGGGGACACGGCGGCAGCACTCTCCAGTAGGGCAGCAGCTAGGCGTCCCAGCGCAGGCGAGCAGAAGACACAGGGCCCGAGAGGACACGGCAGGCCGAGCAGGGGAGGCGGGCAGGTGCTCTGGGGCCGGGCTGGTGCTGGGAGGGGCCAGGCTGGTGCTGCTGGGGCCGGTCGGGCACGAGGAGGGGCCGGGCAGCGCTGAGGAGAGGCCGGGCGGCGCTAGGAAGGGGCCGGGCGGCACTAGGAGGAGGCCGGGCGGCACTAGGAGGAGGCCGAGCGGCACTAGGAGGCCAGGCAGGCGAGCGCTAACAGCAGGCGCGACAGGGGCCAGCGGGCGCGACGAGGCCTAAGGGGCGCGACGGGGCCCAGCGGGCACGACGGGGCCCAGGGGGGGCGCGACGGGGCCGAGGAGGCGCGACGGGGACCAGCGGGCACGACGGGGCCCAGGGGGCCGCGACGGGGCCTAACGGGCGCGACGGGGCCCAGGGGGGGCGCGACGGGGCCTAGCAGGCGCGACGGGGCCTAGGAAGCGCGAAGGGGCCCAGCGGGCGCGACGGGGCCTAGGAGGCGCGACAGGGCCCAGCGGGCGCGACGGTGCCCAGAGGGGGCGCGACGGGGCCTAGGAGGCGCGACGGGGCCCAGCGGGCACGACAGGGCCTAGGAGGGGCGCGACGGGGCCGAACGGGCGCGACGGGGCCCAGAGGGGGGGGACGCGACGGGGCTTAGGAGGCGCGACGATGCCTAGGAGGCACGACGGGGCTCAGCGGGCTCGACGGGGCCCATGGGGGGCGCGACGGGGCCTAGGAGGCGCAACGGGGCCCAGCGGGGGCGCGTTAGGGCCTAGGGGTCGCGACGGGGCCCAGGGGGCGCGACGGGGCCCAGGGGGAGCGCGACGGGGCCTAGGAGGCGCGACGGGGCCCAGCGGGCACGACGGGGCCCAGGGGGGGCGCGACGGGGCCTAACGAGCGCGACGGGGCCCAGGGGGGGCGCGACGGGGCCTAGGGGGCGCGACGGGGCCTAGGAGGCGCGACGGGCGGAAGCGGTAGGCGGGGGGATCCTAACCTAAGCGTGATACCATGTTAACGTAGAAACGAATGATTACTAGAGGTGGAAACCTAGAACAAATACTAGTTGGTTGTACTCACTAGAAGCATACCTCAGTCTAGCCTATAACTTCTACATAGATAATATGTATAAGTTGACACGCCCATAGCCCCCCAGGCTCTGCACCTGTGGCCCTTCCCCGAGGATCTCAAGGGCAACCCCAGCGGGTCACTCAACATTGAACAATCAGAGTGTCGGAAAAAATCCCGGCCTGATTTGCTGTGTGCGCAGATTTTCGTCAAATCTTACAAGCTTGACCAATAGTGGCTAAGCTAGCGCAAAACATGAAGTACCGACGGACATCCTGTTAGTATCCTGCTGCAGTGCAATGTGACTTATTGCAACGTTTCCAACGTTTTTGAATTTACCCTGAGGTCACAGTATAAACTGGGGAGGGAACCACCTCGAGGAATCAGTATGAAGATAGGCAACCAGCCCTGAGTGCTACACGGTTTTTCGGAGGCCAGCCCTGATTGGTCAGGATGCCCAAAATCCTATCCGAGGCCAGCCCTGGTGACTTAATGACACTCACTGGCAACCCTTCCTTCCCCAGTTGGAGTAATTGTTTGCTCCATACAATACAATTCGACTGATACGCTGCATATGAACAAATAAATGCTGACATTCATGCCCACTGCCTACAACCAGCGCACCAGTCACCGAACGCATGATGACACAACACAACACCTAACAGAGCCGCGCCAGCATGCGGACGCCCCTTTATTGGTTGGCAGGCACCTCTCCCTCTCACCCTATCTACACACATGACTGATACTCATCATGGGACGGGTGGCCATTATTCCCACAGCAGCTGTTCACAGCTACCCACCCATCCCCCATTTCCAATGGCCAGCCATTGCATGCTTCCCTGCCACATTCTACCACTGTCTACCGCTGTCAACATCTGACTACCGCTGTCAACCTCAGTCTACCTCGCTCCGATCACCTTGCGGCCCGCCTTGGTTCCTTCCTCCGGGCTCTCCCTCTGAGCCCCCATCCACATGGACCTGAGAGTGCACGCGAGAAGAAACTTAGACGCTGCTCCTGCCGCCCCATAGTGCACCACCAGCAGCCCCCCCACTCCCAGGCCCATGGCTGCTACGGCCACTGTAGGCACGACTCCTCGCAGCAGCAGCACCCGCTTGCCCTCCGCTGTTCGAGCCACTGACGCCACCGGTGCTGATGCTGCTGACAATGCTGCCGATGATGATGCAGATGCTGGTGCTGGCGTTGCTGCAAAGAGGCCTTTGCTGCCCATGGCGGTAGCGGCAGCAGCGGAGCGGATGCGGTTGAACGCACAGGTGAGGGAGTGGCGGGGCGTGAGGAGCAGGAGGCGAGAGAGTGACGGCTGCACCGCAAGTGACTGCTTCACCACCGCACCTGCTTGGGCTGCTCCAGATGACAGAGATGAGAATACCGACAGTGCTGATGCCTCCGCGGGTGCTGCAACAGCTGATGCCATTGCTGCTGCTGTTGCGGCTGCTGCCTGTGGTGCTTCTCCTGCTGCTGCGCTGGGTGCAGGGAACACTCTTTCCTGCTCAGCAATTCTGCTGCTGCTGGTGCCGCCGCCACCGTTACTCGAAAACACGGCTCCTTGCTGCTCCTCCTCCTGCTCCTGCACCTGCAACTGCTGCTGCACCTGCTCCTTCTGCTGCTGCTGCTGCTGCCCCTGCTCCATCCCAGCCTCAACCAGCGGTTGAGCGTGTGCCTCCAGCAGGTGCGGGTGCAGCCGCATGTAGGTGCGGATGTGCGCGAGCGTGTTGCACACGTACCCCCACGCGCCCCGGCGGAACGCCATCTTGGCCATGTCTCGCTGGATGCCGCAGTCGTCGCGCACCACCATCTCTATCTCCGCTACCACGCGTCCGTCAGGCAGAACGACTGCGGAGGGAAGGAGAGAAAAGCAAGACACGAGCGGGGAGAGGCGCGGTTGAGTTTGAGTAGGAAAAGGCTAGACAGCAACCCGATGTGTGCTTAAATTTGTCAACATGGGAAGGGGAGAAGGAAAATGTACACGATGGAGAATGGAGGGCGACAATGGGAAGGATCTGAAGCCTAGTTTTGAGGCGATGGAGCAATGGGCGACAATGAGGCGCCTCAAAACTAGACTTCTATCACGCGGGAAGGATCTGAAGCGAAGGAAGCAAAGGAAGCCGGAAGAAGGGAGACTAAGAAAGGGTAGGTTGGTTGCAGCACGCACCATCCTGCACCCTCCACCCGCAGTTGTACACATCCACTCGCTTCGGCTTTGACTTGCGCGGCACACCCGCATCCTCCACCGCTTTAGTCACACAGAACACCACCTCCCCTCCTTCCACTCCCCTCACCCCCTCCTCCTGCTCCCCACCCACCCTGGCGCCCCTCCCTGCCCCACTCTCCCCCCACATCTCCCACACTTTCCATGCGAGCACATACTCCCGGGCAGCACAGAGCGGGTACTTTCTTTCAAACCTGCCCTTGTGCACGCCCGTGACAGCACATGCGGAGAGCGGGGCGAAGGCTTTGAGCACGGGGTCGCACTGGTGCTGCAGCTGAAAGGCGCAGTCCGTGTAGTAGGCTGCAACCAGGTGCGCTGGCACGCTGGGGAAGCGAGTCAGCGTGTGGTACTCTGTAGGGCCTCCGTCCTGAGAGAGTGAGTGAGAGTGAGTGAGAGAAGGGGGGGTGAGGGAGGGAGGGAGGGGTGTGGCCTCTTCCAAATAATAAACAGCAGCAGCATGTTGTACCTTTTTCCCAGGAGCCTAAAAAAAAAGAACCTGGTACTGCACGTCGTCATCTTCATCATCATCAGCAGCAGCAGGCTTTGTACCTTGGGGTCGCGGCGCCACGCCTGGTACTGCACGTCGTCGTTGGCGCGGTCTATGATGCTGTCCCAGCGGCCCAGCCCGTCGTCGTACGACCAGTCTAGGTGCAGTATCAGGTCCGCCAGGTCCCCCGAGTTCACCTCGCCACTGTCACTCTCCATAAAGGCCGCTGCTGCTGCTGCCGCTGCTGACGCTGCTGATGCACTAGCCGCTTCGTCATCTGCAGCACCAGGAGAAGCAGCAGCAGCGGAAGCGGCAGCGGCGGCATCACTTGCTGCACACGTGGCAAGCGGGGAGAGCAAGGCGGCCCGAGGCGACAGCGACAGGGAGTGCGCTGTGAAGAAGGGCGACGACACGCGGGGCGACGCGGCCGAGGGGGAAGGCTGGCGGGGCGCGGATAGAAAGAAGGTCTCGGGGACCCTGGAGAGGACGGGGGGAACGAGGAACGGGGGGGGGGGAACCGGGGGGGAAACGGGGGGGAAACGGGGGAGGAAACGGGAGTGGGGTTGGGTTTGGGGTTCAGAGAGTGGCGACGGTAAGAGATTAGTCGGGGGAATCGAATGCAGCGCCATGCAACGTGATACAGTCCCAAGGGTTATGCACTGAGAGAGGGATAAGAACGTACACGGCCGTACACGACCGTACAGGACCTTACACCGAGAATGCTGCCAAGGCCAAGGGATGTGCGAGTTGTGACTCACTCAATACTCAAGTTGCCAAGAACCCTCGTCACCCTCGTTGCTGCCTCTGTCACTGCTGCTGCTGCTGCTGCTGCGCCGCCTCCACCCGATCCCTCGTGTAATTGCGCCTCCCCCTTCTCCCCAGCGCCAGCCGTGGCGTCAACGGTAACTCGCCACCACCACCAGCCACTACCCCACCACCACCCCGCTCCGTCGCTACTCCCCCCCGCGCCCACCGCTGCTGCCCTCCAGGCTCCACCGATCTCTGCTGCTGACGCCCCCTCCGCTCCTCTTCCCGCCAACTGTACTGCTGTTTCCACCGCTTCTGCTGCTGCGCTGACCTCGCTGCTGCTGCCCCTCAGTACTGCTTCGCCTCCGCAACCACCGCCGCCGATCCTTTCGCCACATGCTCTGCGCGCACTCCGCCTTTCCCCGTGCGGAGCGCTAGTGGCGGAGGAAGAAGATGACTGCGCGGACGGGGGAAGCAGCAGCGCGGCGCCGGCGGCGCAGAGCGCGGTGAGCAAGAGGAGTAGGAGGAGGTTGAGGGAGAGATCGAGAGAGGGAGAGGAAGAGGAGAGGATGGGGATGGGGAGAGGGAGGGGGAGGGAGAGAGCGGCGGAGAGGTGCCAGAGGGAGAGCGCGCAGGCCTCGAGCATCCTTATATCGAGCGGAACGCCGAGGGAAGAGAAGAGGTCGAAGAGCGACGACGGTTGCGCGCTGCCGTAGCCTGCGAAGCGCACCCCCGCCATGGCTGCCACACCCAGGCTCGATCCCACGCCGATCGTCACTGCCGCGGACCAGCTCTTGGCGCTCTTGCCGCTTTTCACGCTCAGTTGCTTCGGGTTCACCGGCAATTGCGCCGGCGGTTGCGGCGCTTGAAGCGGCTCCGCTCGCGGCGACGGCGGTGACGGGGGGGACAATGACGGCAGCGGTGGTTCCGCGAATAGCGGCGGAAATTCAGGGAGGCTGACAGGACAACACGTCGAATTGCGTGTGGGGGGGGGAGGACGGGTGGTGGTAGTGTGGGGTTCGGGGGGAAAAGGTGGGGGGAGGGGGGGAATTGGGAGAAACGTTAATAGGTAAGATGTAGATTATCGATCATCACGTGAGGTGCCGGGATAGTTATATTCCGAGAGTTGCTGCGGACAAGAGGTATGGGAGTTAACCCGCGGACACTTGGGCGCTTAATTACACACCAAGGAACAGCAGCAAGCCCGGGGAGATGAAGAAAGGTTCATCAAGGCCAAGAACACCCTGAAGCGTCGACTGAAGCAGGTAATTACCTGGTCAAGGCTGTCGGTACGCGATCGAGAAGCGGCGCGGACGGGGAGGTCGAGAGACACGGCGCGGGGAGAGCAGGCGAGGATGGCGCAGCGAGGGAGGGAGTAGAGAGCGACATGGGGAGAGCGGCCGAAAGGGAAGCGGAGAGGGGGGAGGAGAGGGACGGAGGGGCCAGCAGCTTCCCCGCGGCTTGCGCGCACGGCGAGAATGGCGGTGCGATGGCGTCGGCCATAGCTGCTGCTGGGTCTGACATTGCTACGTTGGCGGCGCTCCGACAACTCGCGACGGAGCAGATGCGCGGGAGGGGATGGGGATGGGAATGGGGGTGGGAGTGGGGGTGGGGATCGACGGCAGCATGCCACCCCGAAGCGGAAGCGGAAGCGGATGCGGACGAGACGGCAGTGGCCTCCGTGTCGGCGCAATGGAGCGCCGCCACGTGGTGGGCGATGTTGCACGTGCTGCTGCAACTCATGGCGATCGCGGTGTTGCTTCCGTTAGCTATTAACCAGCTCTCTCTTTGTTTCCAATGCTAAGACAGCGGCGCGCGTTTCCAACTCTAGGGATGTATTTAGTCGCCTATACTGGAACCTAGCCGGCAAGTGGGATCAACGAGTGGAATCGACACCTGCAGTTCGACTCGGTAAGGACAAATAGGGGAACGAGCAATTGATTACCGCCTACAGGAGTCTAGGCCAGCTTCTCCTAAGCGCTATCACTGCAAGTCGTGATCGTAAAACCTTTCCAATGCGGGTAAAGTAGGCGCACCATTGGATGCAGCGGTCTTTCAGGAGCTTGCACGACTGGCCATCGATCGGCCTGTGTGGAGGCTAAAATACGAGAGCACCGCACGGGAAGGGGAGGGCTGTATGGTGTTGCGTGGTGGATCCGCTCCGCCTGCGCTAACGCTTGGGGGGGGTCCCTGCCCTGGGCAGGAAGGAGCGCCGTGACTGACGTAACGGCCCAGTTCTCTGCAGGCACTCGTCGTCGTCGTGAGTCATGGTGTGTGTGACCTGCATTGCTTCGCAAGCAAGGCACTGGGAAGCGGCAGCAGTGAGCTGCTGTTGGTGGTGGTAGTGGTGGTGGTGAGGTGAGATGTTCGGTTAGGGAAGGGGGTGCGAGCGAGCGAGTGAGTGAGGTAGGAGGGAGAAGTGGACATAGCGAGGTGACCGGGGCGGCAAGGGTGCGACGGCGAATGCGAGGGCGGATTACGATTTGCTGCTGTCGCAGATGGTCGCATCATCGCATGCGATGGGTGGGTGTTGAGTTGAAGGGGGCAAACCGGCGAGAACAAACACATCAGGCGGCGAACCGTCGAACCGCGTGCGACGATTAGGGAGTGGGGGTGGGGATGAGTGGGAGTGAGAGAGGGACAGGGCCTGGGAGGAGGAGAGTCGAGATTGCGTGTAATTTCGGCCGTCGGAGAACGCGATCGAGGCGCTCCTCAAAGACCGCTGCGCTTACGTCAGCAGAAGAAAAGTCCACCTACTTCCGGCGCTGCGTGGGCCACGAAATCGTGTGAGGGGGACAATCGTACCTACTAACTACGTGGCAAGGAAGATGGGACCTGCCATGAGACTCTTTCTGCAAGCGTGCATGACGTGTCAGTTACAGTTAGCGCTTGCCAAATATTTGCTTCCACGTGGAACTCGTGTCAGAACAGAACTGGTACTTGACACGGAGGCATGCCCTCGACTTGGCTTAGCGAATTGAACAGTGAGCTGGCACGATGGCCATGTGGAGTGGACACCGTCAGCCATGAGCAGCAGCCCAATCAGCTTTCGTCATTAGGGTTTCAGTTGCAACAATTCACAGCCTAGTTACCGGCGGATCACAGGGGACTGAAAGAAGATGCGGTCCAAGGAATTTGACGGCCACTGATTGGCCGAGATATATGCCGCAGTTTATGCCTTGGTTCGCATTAACCGTTAACAGCTGCGCCACCAGTGCGTCAAGCAAACTATTCAACCATAACGTATAGTATTCATGAAGTAAAATGAAAAGATAGCAAGTATGCATTACGTTAGGATAGGCGGTGCCAAGCCAGGAACTGTTAAGCAAAGGTAGCTAGCTAGGAAGCCATGGAAATGGCGTGAGGTTTAGCTAGGGGAAAGTTACGAGAGAAAAGAGGGTGGGACTAGGAAGAGAGAGGCATACAAAGGGGGAGTTGTACCCTCTACAGTAGAGTTCGGTAACCTACCAAGCCTACTAATTATATAACACAATTGTTGGAAATATCTCGAGGACTTAAGCGTTTCTGAAGTGTAACACCACACTTGAGGAAGATCGTAACGGGTACGCGAGTCAACGGAGGTTACACGAGAGGATGGACAAAGAACACGAAAGTGCCAACTTATACATATTAGCTATGTAGAAGTTATAGGCTAGACTGAGGTATGCTTCTAGTGAGTACAACCAACTAGTATTTGTTCTAGGTTTCCACTTCTAGTCAATCATTCAGTTCTTACCTTAACATGGTATCACGCGTAGGTTAGAATCCCCCACCTACCGCTTCCGTCCGTACCCAAGCTAGGCCCCGCTGCGCCCCCCCTCCCCCCCCCCCCCCCCCTGGGGCCCCGTCGCGCCTCCTAGCCCCGTCGCGCCCCTACTGGGCCCCGTCGCGCCCCTCCTAGGCCCCGTCGGGCCGCTCCTGGGCCCCGGCGCGCCTCCTAGCCCCGTCGTGCCCCTCCTGGGCCCCGTAGCGCCTTCTAGCCTCGTCGCGCCCCTCCTGGGCCCCGTCGCGCCTCCTAGCCCCGTCGCGCCCCTCCTGGGCCCCGTCGCACCTCCTAGCCCCGTCGTGCCCCTCCTGGGCCCCGTCACGCCTCCTAGCCCTGCGCGCCCGCCTGGCCCCATCGCGCCCTGCCTGGCCCCGTCGCACCTGCCTGGCCCCTCCGCGCCTGCCTGGCCCTGCTGCGCCTGCCTGGCCGCGCCGCGCCTGCCTGGCCCCGCCGCGCCTGCCTGGCCCCTCCGTGCCTGCCTGGCCCTGCCGCGCCTGCCTGGCCCCGCCGCGCCTGCCTGGCCCCGCCGCGCCTGCCTGGCCCTGCCTCGCCTGGCTGGCCCCTCCGCGCCTACCTGGCCCCGCCGCACCTGCCTGGCCCCTCCGCGCCTGCCTGGCCCCGCCGCGCCTGCCTGGCCCCGCCGCGCCTCCCTGGCCCCGCCGCGCCTGCTTGGCCCCGCCGCGCCTGCCTGGCCCTGCCGCGCCTGCCTGGCCCCTCCGCGCCTGCCTGGCCCCGCCGCGTCTGCCTGGCCTCTCCCACTGCCCGCCCGGCCCATCTTCGTGCCTGCTCGTCCTGCCGTGCCACCTCGGGCTCCGTCTACTCTGCTCGCCAGTGCTGGGGCGCCTCGCGGCCGCCGTGCTGGAGAGTGCTGCCGCCGTGTCCCTGCGTCGCTGTATTCCTGTGGAGCTGTGCCGCTGACCCTGCACGATGGCTGACTTCGTGCTCCGACTGGACGCCGAGGGCCATGCGGTTGACTTCGCCGCCTGGCTCTCCGATCTCCGCCACCACCTTACAGGTCAGCCCCGGGATGGCCACTCTTTGGTTATTCATATCGATGGCTTGCTCCCCCGCCCCCCTGCCCCTGCTCCCCTCCCTGCTGATCCCTCATCCGATGACCGTGAGGTCTTCTCTACTGCTGCGCTTGCCTGTGCGGTCTGGGACTCCTGCGATGCAGTAGCTCAGGTTGCTATTAGTCACGCCCTCCCTGTGTCTGAGCGCTCGCGATTTGCTACTGTTGAGACGACCAAAGCTTACTTAGAGGCTGTTATTGCTCGCTATTCTACACCCGCGTCTGCTTCTGCTGGCCGCTTGCTCTTCCTGATGCTGTTCCCAGACCTTGCAGCCTTCCCTACCGTCGTTGGCCTCTTGGGGTGCTGGCGTTGAGGAGGGTGTTCGTTCTCCAGCTCCCGGGGGTGCCGCTGGAGTTGGAGGGGGTTCTTGCTCTAGGGGTGTTGGTACTGGGGGTGCTGCTGTTGAGGGTTCCGCCGACGGTTGTCGTGCCTCTGCCTGTCCGAGGGTTCCGGCCCAGCTGTCGCAGCAGCCGTTGCAGCCGGTCTCCGCTATCCGCCTGCTCGGCCTTCCGTTCCCGGACCGCGCGCCGGTGTCTCCCCAACCGCCTGCTGACCTTCCTGTCTACGGTCATGTGTTCCCGCCGCCGGACTCGTCTCCGGCCCGTCTTCCTCCTCGTTCCCCTCCTGTGTCCCCTTCACTGTCCCCTGACCCTACACCGCCGCCTTGACTACGCTACCGCTCTGGTCTCTGACCCTGCCCGTCCTCCGTCCGTCGGGGGTGCTCCTGCCCTTGGCAGTGACGTCCTAGAGGACAAGGAGTACGAGCTTGCTTTCGTTTCCGAGGCTGCTCCCCATCTCTGCTCCATGCTGTTAGTCCCTGAGGGTGACCCAGACGGCTTCGACATCCCGACCCCTCGCACCTACGCTGAGGCCACCTCGGGACCTTGGGCCTCTCAGTGGATAGCTGCCATGGAGCAGGAGATGGCATCTTGGAGGTCCACCGGCACTTACGTCGACGCAGTTCCCCCGCCTGGGGTGAACGTAGTCGATGGTCGGTGGCTCTTCAAGGTGAAGCGCCCCTCTGGAGAGTCGCCCGTCTTCAAGGCGCGCTACGTGGCCAGAGGTTTCAGTCAGCGAGAGGGGGTTGACTTCTTCCAGACCTTCGCCCCGACCCCGAAGATGACCACTCTTCGGGCGCTGGTACACGTAGCAGCACAGCGCGAGTACGAGCTTCACTCCCTCGACTTCTCTACTGCCTTTCTTCAGGGCAGCCTACACGAGCAGGTCTACCTGCGCCGACCACAGGGCTTCACTTGTACCTTCCCCCCTAGGACCCAGTGGCTTCTCAGGCGCCCAGTCTATGGCCTGCGTCAGGCTCCTCGCGAGTGGCACGACACGGTGCAGGCCACGTTAGCAGACCTGCAGTTCTTTCCGTCCTCTGCTGACCCCTCGCTGTTTGTGCGTTCCAGCCAGACTCCGTTCTACATCCTTGTCTACGTAGACGATCTGGTCTTCGCTACTGCTGACAGGGACGCACTGGCCTCTGTGAAGGCCGAGCTTGTGAAGAGACACACCTGCACTGACCTTGGAGAGCTGCGTCGCTATCTTGGTCTGCAGATCTCTAGGGACAGAGCAGCATGCACCATCACTCTGACACAGTCATACTTGGTGCGTCAGGTCCTTCAGAGGTTCGGTTTTCAGTTCTCCTCTGCATGGGGTTAGTGCTAGGAGGACGCAAGCCAGTGGTCCTTACTGGGCACACAGACGCTTCTTGGGCAGACGACTCTGAGACGCTCAGGTCGTCGCAGTTCTACTGTTTTAGCCTTGGTTCGGGTGCAATCTTTTGGAGATCCACTCGCTCGTCGTCTGTGGCTCAGGCTAGCTGTAAGGCTGAGATCTACGCTGGTGCCATGGCGGTAAAGGAGCTCCGCTGGCTGACCTTCTTGCTCACTGATTAGGTGAGCGGCCTAGCTCTGCCCCGGTCCTGTACGCTGACAACATGGCCATGATACTCCTGTGTCAGGAGCCTCGGCTTGAGGGCAGAGCGAAGCATATCCAGCTGTGGTACTTCCTCCTGCGCGAGCTACAGCAGCACCGCCAGGCCCGCGCAGTTCACTTGTCCTCAGGTGCGAACACAGCTGATATCTTTACTAAGGCGCTTGCGCCTAAAGATCATCAGCGGCACTGTGTACAGCTTGGTCTTGTTCCTGTAGCTACTCACCTGTTAGGATCCTGATTGTGTACTCTTTGTTATATATGCCTGTGAGACTGGCCTTGTGGCCTTACCTCCAGTGGCTGGACTATTAGTGCCGCCCTGGCTTGCTTTAGTTTTGTTTGTATTCTTGCTGACTGGTCTCCAGACCCCTGCCTCAGTGGTTGGACTAGTAGTGCCACCCTGAGCTGTTTGCTTCTTGTTTAGCTTCACCCCTTGTCTAGCCTAGTTGGTGTGTCAATTTATACATATTA